CTTCATGTCATTTTCTCAGTTATTGCTTTAAAACATTCACATTCTACTCTTAGAAAGATTCACCTGTACCCCTATAAGGTAAACCTCAGAAGTGATCCCTCCAAACTCCCTCCCTCCACCCATTCCCCCCTCCCTTCTCCCTCCCCCTCCCCAAGCAGTGCCTATCTTAAAAGGCTATGGTTAACACTCAAGGAAAAGCAAATTTAACATAAATTAAGCAATTTTCTTTGTGCCTTATGCTGTGCTAGGCACATTATTTTATACCATAATTTCATCTCCTTGAAACAATTCCATTGAACTGGAATTAATATTCTTTTGTATAGATGCAGAAACAGAGAGGTTAAAAATATCCCATGGTCATTCAAGCAGTAAAGGCAAGAATTGAACCCGCAACTCACTGACTCTAAAATACAATGACCTCTCACAGGAATTCAGCAAATACAGTACACTTTCTCCTTCCATACTTGGTGGGCCTCAGTTTATCCAGTTTGCTTATAATGTGAGAGAGAGTGTTCATCCCCCACTCCCCCGGTCTAGCTTAGCACTGTTATATCCCACTGCCAAGCCTGGTATGGAGAGACAGCCTTGCCCTTCCTATCCCCAACTCTCAGTCTCAACTTACCGGTCTGGGGCAGCCTCCGGAGCGGGATTCCTCTGGCTCATCCTGGTTGGAGCTGTCTGAGCGTCTGTCTGTGCTCTGATCTCGGGCACAAGGCACTAGGTCCCTCTTCAGTTCCTTAGCATACTCAGAACTTCTCTGCCCTGTGAGTGAGCCCGAGCAGGCCTCGCTGGCTGCAGGCTCCAGGGAGGGGCTGAGACTGCCCAAGGGCTCCGGAGAGCTGGCATGGGTGCCAGCGGGGACAGTGAGTCCTTGCCCCAGCCTCCCCCTGGATGCTGGCTGAGCCTTGACCTCCAGCTCCTTCTGGTCATGTAACGTGGCAGGGCCTTCAGCAGTACCAGCCCCCATAGTGTGCTCAACTTCGTTCTGCTCTGCGGAAGAAGCCTGTCCAGATGCTCCCAAGCACAATGCAGGGCTCTGTGGAGGGGACTGTGCAGCTGCACTGAGGGCCTCTCTTCCTCTGGCCTCTAGGGAACCAACAGGGCCAGCGGGGCAGCCCAGCTTGGCCTCATCCCAAAAATTCTCAATCCCCACATCACATCCCACCCAATGTCCACCTCGATCTCCAGACCCAGACCCGGTGTCCTCAGGAGAGAGGGGTCTGTGGGGGCCTTCCAAGGACTCCAGGTCAGTGCTTTGGGGAGGGCCTCCCCAAGAGAGCTGATCAAGCAACAAGAAGCCATCAGCCCCCTCTTCACCCTCTGAACAGGCTCCAAATTTCTTGCTTTTCTTTCTTGCCCTCTTGGGGGCTGGGCCTGGTGAGGACGGCAGGCTCCTTTCAGGGGGGTCCTTGTTGAGTGTGGGGCTTCTTCCATCACACCCTGGAGAACTCATTCCAACATCTCTAGCCTCTCTGGGCCTGGGACAGCTCACCTCCTCCACCCCTGCTGGCCTCTCTTTGTCAATCACAGCTCTCTTTGGAAGACACCCAGACATGCTACAAAGATTTCTGGGGCAATTCTCAGATAAGATGTCGTGCAGAGAAACCTGGAGCCTCTTGGAGGCCTGAGCCCTCCTCCGAACAGGCACTGTGCACACCTGCGTGTGGAACTGGGGGCCAGGCACTGCATCCGGGCCCTGGCCCACAACTTCCAGCTCCAAGATACTCAGGCTGGCCCCAGCAACAAGCTCAGTATGGGAGCTGGCAACCTGCTGGGCCTCCTCCCTGAAGGTCCTCTTCCTACCACCTGCCCAACCTTGGGCCCCTAAGCTTGCTCTCAGGAGATCTGGTACCAGGCCTGGCATGGAGCTGGCTCCTGCCATGTTCTCCTGGAAAAGCCCACAGCTGTTTGGGGGACTGAGCACAGAGTCCTCTGCATCCTCCTCCTGGGACATGGCTGTCCACTTACCTGGGTCAAAAGCAGAACTCAGGCACTGTGTGGAGAAAAAGAGAAGGGTCTTTACCACAGAGTCTCACATGCCAGTCCACTCAGGACACCAGGCCAGTGGAAACTTGGGAGGCAGCCCCCCTTCCTCAGAGTGCCCTGGCCTTGCCCACTTCTGAGACCTAGAGGTGATCACTCCAGGGGTGTGAGTGCCTCAGGGCAAAGGGCAAAAGGGGAACAAGCCTGCCCCCAACCAGCGTTGCCCCAGTCAGGGCTGAGCTATGGCAACCTTCAAGGTCTTCCTGCCTCTGAGAGTTTGCACTTTTGCTTAAATGGGATCTACTAATAACATACCATTTACTCACGACTGACCTATATGCATTATTTCATCTCATGTTGGCAGCCACAGGTGAGGAAACTGAGATTCTAAGATGTTAAATGAACTCCCCAAGAACACAAACATAAAAAGTAGAAGCCCAGCTCTAAACCACTCCCCCACCTTCCCTCCCCCACCCCTCTCTTTCTTTCCGTTCCTTCTGATAGACATTCCACCTAGGTGCCAAGGCCTGGTTGGGACAGTCCCCAACCACCCAGAGAATTGGGCCCAACCAATCTAGCCTCTCTCACCGGGGGTCCCCCGGTTTCCCCTCCTGGGGTTCCACCTTTTGGCTGGGAAAGGTCTAGCAAGGATCACGTGAGGCAAGGGGCGGTCCTTGGTGGCAGCGGGGGCGGAGTCCCAATGACGCGCACTACGCCGCACCGAGGAGTGCTTGCGCTCCCGCCCAGCAGATGGCGCTCTCTCCCTCCGGAGGGCTTCCTGGAGGAGGTGTCAATCCCTCAAACTGCCGAGCAGGGGTAGGTGGGCGCATCTGGCGAGGAGTCTTGGAAGGCCAAGGGGCTTCACTGCTTGCCCACGAGTTTAAACATGATCCTACCGCAAGATGTTACTTGAAGCCCAAGTCCATGGGGGATGTCAGAATTAGAAGTAGATTTTTTTGCCCAATTACTTATTTTAATATTATCTCAAATACAATTTATGTAGATGGCAATGTACTTTCAAGCCCAGTAGAAAGGTTAGCTATAAACAGTTTAAAACTTGGCTTGGTGCCTGTTGCACACTGGTTACGGCGCTGGCCACATGCACCAAGGCTGGTGGGTTCGAACCTGGCCCAGGCCTGCTAAACAACAATGACAACTGCAACAGCAACAACAAAATAGCAGGGCATTGTGGCGGGCACCTGTAGTCCCAGCTACTTGGGAGCTGAGGCAAGAGAATCGCTTAAGCCCAAGAGTTGGAGGTTGCTGTGAGCTGTGACAGCACAAAATTCTACCGAGGGCGACATAATAAGACTGTCTCCAAAAAAAAGAAAAGATAAAAAGTTCAAAACTTCTTTTCACTCCCCAACCCCTAACTCCTGTGAACAATTTTTAAAATAATGCTTATTGTTATTTTTTCATTTTTAAATTTCATAACAGCAAAAATATATTGACACCTTTATTGCCTGATTTATTAATTTAACAGTATCTATTGACTTCCTGGTGTGATATTTTGTTGTGCTTTTTTTTTTTGAGACATAGTCAAACTTGTCACCCTCTGTAGAGTGCTGTAACATCACAGCTCACAGCAACCTCAAATTCTTGGGCTCAAGCCATTCTCTTGTCTCAGCCTCCTGTGTAGTTGGGACTATAGGAGCCCACCACAATGCCCAGCTATTTTTGGAAACAAGGTCTCAGTCTGGCTCAGGCTGGTCTCAAACCTGTGAACTCAGGCGATCCACCCCCCTTGACCTCCCAGAGTGCTAGGATTACCTCGCCTGGCCTCTGGTGTGATATTTTGATTAACCATCCTTTCCCCCTTTCTCCTCCCAGTTTTTCCATTTTATATTTATATTTTAGTTTTTCTACTGGTTATTATCATCACTTTGAATAATAGCCTTAAATGGGTGTTTTTTCTGTAGACAGTATCTCTTGACTCTGTCCCATGTGAAATGGATAATTTCCCTTGATATTCTCTCCCTGCTCTTGCCTTTTCCCATGACCTAAATTTTTACCTTTGCATGATTAAGATTTATAGCTTTATGTTCTAGCTTGTGAAGATAATTCAGTTTGGCATAGTTTGCCTGCAGATTGATTCTTAACATTGAAAACCAAATGACATGTAAATGGTATGACAATTAAGTTTGCAAACTCATCCTAGAAAAAGTACTACGTACCTTGTTTCTGAATATCACTATGGTCATCTTTGAAGTACTCTCCTTAGGAAGCTATGCACCAATACCAGTCCCTAGCCCACCCTTCAAAGCAATTTTGGAACTCTTTTTCTGGAATGGCCATCAGGGCTGTCATCATATTACCCTTAATATCCTGAATGTCATCAAAATGTCTTCCTCTCAATATTTCCTTTATCTTCAGGTAAAGAAAAAAGCCATTGGGGACCAAATCAGGTGAGTAGGGAAGGTATTCTAATACAGTTATTTATTTACTGGATAAAAAAATCCCTCATAGTGCCGTGGTGTGAGCTGGTGCACTGTCGTGACACAAGATCCATGAGTTGTTGGCAAAAAGTTTAGGACACTTTTGTCTTACTTTTTCAAGCAGCCTTTTCAGCACTACCAAATAGTAAACTTGGTTAACTTTTTTTCCACTTGATACCAATTCATAATGAATAATCCCTCTGATAAACAAAGAAGGTTAGCAACATCATTTTGACTCTTGTTTTGGACTGACGGAATACTTTTGGTTGTGGAGCACTGGTCGACTTCTATCGTGCACTTTGATGCTTTGTTTCAGGGTTGTATTGGTACACCCATGTTACCCAGTGGTAAAACGGCCCCAAAGATAGTCTTGCTCTCCATAAGGTCTTGGCAAACGTCAACCCTCCTTTGTTTTTGTTCATTGGTGAGCTCCTTTGGGACCATTTTTGCACACACCTTTTTCATACCAAGATTTTCAGTTAAAGATTCTCCTAACTAGTTCTCTGCTGATGTTTTCTTAGCCTGCTATGGTTCTCATAGTTAGCTGACGTTGTCGATGTACACGTCCACAAATTTTTGCAATGTTGTTATCGGTTCTGCTTGTTACTGGCCGCCCCGACCTCTCTTCAGCAGTAACACTTTTTCTCCCCTCAGAAAAACATTTAATCTATTTGTACACTGCTGTTTTCTTCATGGCATTATCCTCAGACACTTGGACTAACGTGTCCCTGATTTCACTTCCACTCTTGCCAAGTTTAACAAGAAATTTAATATTTGTTCATTGCTCTGATTCAAGCTCTGACATTCTTGCAATGGCACCCAGAAACCCATAACAATAATGAAAGCCACTCAGCAAGACATTGCCACACATTGCCACCTACACAGATGCACAGTTGTGAGATACTAATATACCAAGGTTATAAAACCTTACTGAGCTGTTTGTACAGTGCTGCCAACGTTCGGAGCACAGTGGCAAGTTCTTAAACTTAATTGTCTGACCTCATATGATGATGCCACTGTACTCTTGTCCAGGCAATAGAGCAAGATCTGTCTCAAAAAAATAAATTAAATAAAAATGAGCATAGTTTTACTGCATTGTGATCAGATAAAATGGTCTATGTAATGTTGATTTTTCTTTTGAAAAGTTTTCGTGATGTTTTTGGTGATCTGATATACTGTGGGTCATTAATGTTCGTTGTGTCCTTGAAAAGTAATGTATTCACGGCTCGGCGCATGTGGCTCAAGCGGCTAAGGCGCCAGCCACATACACCTAAGGTGGCCGGTTCAAATCCCCAGCCCGGGCCCGTCAAACAACA